TTATACAAATTTTAACAAATCGTTGCGTTATAGATCGTCATTTAACTATCGGACTAGGCCGTTATACACAACAATTTAATATTAAATATAAATTAAACATTACGCTATATTAAAATTTACTTTAAAAATTAGGGTACCAAATTCTGACAGCCCTAATGCAAACATTTAAGTACGCGGCTGAGAGGCCAGGTGCTTACCGCTTAATTCGTGTAATTTTTTAAATAATGTTCTTCATTTAATATTCAATCACACGGTCGTGGTTAAGGAAGTGATATCAATAAATAATAACTTCATAACTTCGAGATATTAATATTATTAATTAAACCTTTGACCTTTATATTAGTTAGGTCTGTGAACTTTTTATTAAATATAAATTTATCCAACGTTCCACGAATATTGATTTATAGGAGTTTTCTGGAACTCTATATTGAGATGGACTCGTAGTTGCTGCCGCTCGTAATCAAAAACGTATCATCTAGTAGAGCAATCTATTAAATTTTCTAGAATCTTCTACAAATTGTACCAATTACTAATAGAATTGTCGACGAATGAAGACATTATTATAAAATATAATGAATATAATAATAAAATACCATATGTATTAAATTCTGATAATGAAAATTAGTTCATACGAAAGGACGCCGTGTTTCGATTGTTTATGATTGGTCAAGAAATTCTAGTCCAATCACAGACACGCGACAATACGCGCGCAGGAACACGCAACGCGTTTGACCAATCACAAGTAGCCGTAACACACTTGTTGTCGACATTCGTTTTGCATTACTTCAAGGAATTTTCGTCATATTCTACCTTCTGTTTACCATGGCATCCCTTTAATATTCTGTATAATATGTCGGCGTCTTTATTCCTTTATTAATTATACAATCAACATATAATCTTACAACTATATAGCTAATAAATATGTATCGCAAGTCAACACGTAAGTAACGTCCGGTGACAATTGTCAAGGTAATTATGAATTAATAAGATAAGATAAATGTAATAGTTACGGAACGGGTTAATTTGTTATTTAATACGGAAATTTTTAAATCGGATAAAAACTGTATTAAAATAAGTATTGCGTGATTTTTTTCAATTGCGTGTACGTTTTTTTGAATACTCTGCGTTCTTTTATAGACAGAAAAATAATCAATAATTTTAATAGTTTTTCCATATACATATAATAAACAAAATCATTACAAATACATGATATATTAAAAGATTATTAATATGCTTATGGGCCAGAACGACGAAACTTTGAATAAAGTGCTGACTGCAACGCCGGGTATTGCGTGTGTGATGCCGACCTTTGAATGATACGCTATTTTCTTGAAAGCTCCTAAGTCGTATAGATAATACCTCTGGCAGCTGATTCCATAATGAAGTGGCGCGTGGCAGAACGTGCCAAAATCTCTGTGTTGTGGAAGGCCAGGCGTCGAGATTAAAGGGGTGTAATTTCGTATTCTACCTTGACGTCCGATGACGAAAAAAAACTCTCTTTTTGGTTACTCTGTAAAAATCTCTGTGAACCATTGGCCGGTTTCAATAATAATAAAGTCATCTATTCTACACAATTTGAAGTAATTCTAGTAATACACGCATTGTTGATTTCGTAAACTTGGAATTTCTGGTATGAAAACAGAACATAGAATTTAAAATCAGGATCGGAATAGTTATTGAAGTTACTTTGTAACCGGTCATTATTCATAATTTCTGATTCAAGTGGTACTAATAGGTAAGTATTTTTTTAAGATAATACTCCTTAATAGGATAAAGTAAAAGACCCAAAACACGCTTCTGACAATGTCACAAAACTTGTTAACACTAAATCGGAGCGTAAAAAATGACAATTCTGACACATCTCAAATATTTTGAGCACTCATTGTCCTCCTGCTCAAATAATCATAAATCACGGGTTAACTTTTCAAAAGGGTTTTGAATGAATTTTGACAATGTTGCAAGTTTATGTTGATTTTATTTATAACAAGTGACTTTTGGATGTTCTTTAAATTGCGTTTGATGTATATATACCTATTAACTACAAAAACCAGTGGCGCTACAAACCATGGTCTTGGACTGAGATTTCTGTATCTGTTTCGCGATTTGTGTTTTCTAATAGGCAGGTATCACCTTCGGGTCTAAGCCCTAAGGCATTCCTCACGATGTTTTCCTTCACCATACGAGCGAGTGTTAAATGCGCACTTAGAAAGCCGGTTGGTGTACAGGGGGGAACCTTCGAGAGTCCCACGCTCCAAGCCAACTAGTTAAAGCTTATATATCAATATAAGCTTTAACTAGGCACTTTGTCAATAAGATAACAGTTTGTGCTTTACATTAGATTGTATGCCGACGTAACACTGATTTTATTTCTACCTTTTGTTAATTCGTTTTGCGTAAAAGCTTATTAAAACTGGATTTATTTAGGTATTTAGCTACTGTTTGCGTAACGTATTTATTTAATCTTGATCTAATTAGCATTTCAATGAATAATAATATTGTATATTAGTTTTTAAAGGTATGTAATGAATTTATGACATTATATCTTCAAGTATCAAGATCTATCAGTTATACTAGGACACACAAAATATTATTTTTCATATGTTTTATTTATCATTTAATTATTCGCATTCGCATTTAAATATTAACGCTTTTAACGGCACAGAACGAAACAGAAGTAAAGCTGAGAAAAACTTCAGCTCAGTCTTAACAAGGTGTCCCGATCGTATCTGCTGGAGTTTCTATGCGTATCAGAAGCAAGCCGAAATACTGGCAAATGAAATAAATAGTCTTCAGCGTTAAAAAAATAAACAATGTATCCTAGGTAGGCAGAAGGCGAATAGAATCACTTTCTTTCCACAACAGAGGGTAAGAAACAAATTTGTTAATTCCTATTATGACATGTGTCAAAAAGTAGCGAAGATAACTCTAATAAGAGGGTTTATCTCAAAATTAATAGACCCTAATGTAATGCATTGTAAAGCAATTTAAAAACACGCTCCGCCGCCCTCGCTGATAAAATTTGTCCCTTATATCCCGTTTTGATTGGACGGGTTGATTTATGTGATGTTTAGACATAAATAGAGCGACTGGACAGTTTTAATAATTTGAATTTCTGATGTTTTACATATATTGGGAAATAAGATTCAGGAATAACGGGCGTGCAAAGTAGTAGGTTGTATTTTATACTGGAAAAAGTTTCATATATTGATCTAATATTTAGGTGATTATTTAATCTCGCTACAGTATTAAGTACATTAATGCATTGGTAAGCGGTAAGACTATCTTATATCTAAACCGCTGTTTTGCTGGTATTTTCTTTACTTTTTTTTACAAAAATTGCTAGTATTTTTTTTATTTTGTAAATATTTTTTTTTTGTTACATTAGTGTTTACCAAAACGGTCATATATTTTAAATAAAAGATCTTGTAACATATACCGTAGATATAGTATTATATATGATGTGGTAAACTGCATATACAAATAAAGCGTTTTTGAAAATAGCTGGTGTGGTGTTATTTTATACTTACTTGAAAAAGTTTCTTAATACTAATAGGTATATATATTCTTAATACTATATAGGAATTACATTATACAATATACATAAGACTGACACCTAAATATTTCCAACAAATTCTTATTTTTAATATCATACAATTAATTACGTTAACGTGGCCGTATTTTAAAAGTCTGGTTTGATTTTCACGTTTAATAATTGTTTTCTGTAGGGAATCTAGGCTTCAATTACTATACGTTAAACATCAATGATCAAAACTAGGCCGTCACATAACATACGATGAGGGGTATAATAGAGACATTTCCCTCGAGATAAACTCCTGCGAGCCCCCGAGATTTAAACTAACTGCACTTGTTATTGAGAATGTTAACTTCCAACTCCAAATGGCCCGTAAAAACAATTTAGCTATAGCAATTTAATTCGTAAATTAAATCTGTAATTATCTTGTAATAAAGCTTAACAATGTCTAGGGACATTCGAATGTACTGAAAATTGTACCTTAATAAAATTCTCAAAGTATTTTAAGAAAACAATTAACAATACAACTAGCAAAAACTTTTACAAAGAGAAATCTAAAATCTTTTTGAATATATAATAAAAACCGTGAGTAAATACTCTTCAAAGACATTGTTGTTGGCGGCAAACACTCAAAAACGCTATGGTTAAAATTCCATTTTTAAAAAGATGTCAAAATGCAACAAAGGATGCGCCCGTAGCCAATTTTCCGGTCACCGCCACTACGCAATTATTTAGATAAACCTCTCCTCTCCAAACAATCTCCCCTCCCGTCTTTTGGGCTTTGTAAATTTATAGCCGGGCATTACGACGGTTAGGATAAAAATGTACTTTTAATTTATCTCGTTAAAGGGTTGAAGGACGAGCGGTTCGCGAAGTAATTATTCCCGAATTGGCCACTTTAGCTGATGAATCCATTTCCAACCCTATTGGTTGAGCTTTCATTTTGGGGAGCGAAAGATTGCATTTGTGATGGAATAAGCTAATTATTTTCAAGTTATCGTAATTAAGAACTCATTAAACCGTCGTAATTTATACAAATCGACTATTATAATTAAAATGACATCAGTTTACTTCATTAAAGGAACTTATAGCTTCCCTAGCCCATGCTACATTTATATGTGGGTGGTCCTTGTTTAAGTAAACATTTGATAATAATAAAATAGCGAAGATATAGTTTTTTTTAAATAAATTAGTGTATTGCTTAAAGAACAGAAAAATAAATAATCGATCTGTGAGAGCGAAATACTTGCAACAACAAAGGACGCTACAATATAAAACGACATTAGAAACTATATTTAATTAATGAATTAAAAAAATAACGATTTTAGTTTTAGGTATAATAAAAAATATTGTTACGAATTTTTGGTGTAATGTTTGTGTTGCACAGAAACGTAGATACCTACATCTATGCTGCGTTCGAAATTTAAACCGAAATTCTTTTTTCTTACTATACTTTTTATTCAAAAACTTACCTGCCAGTCTTAGTAATAATCATTTCAGTTCCCAAGTCGTGGAACTTGTCCCACAGATCCTTAGTTTCCAATTGACAGTCCACAGAGAGCAGTTCCTCACAGTTACATGATGTTGCGGGTGGCGCCAGTGGTCGCGCTGGTGAGGGGGTGTCTCTTTCGCCTAATTCTGTTACAAGATTTAATTTTTTTAATGATTTGGAACACAAATATTATCATATGTGGAATGTGTTGATAATCATTATATTATGGGTTCGATTGCCGAGACCCTAGGCTAAAAGTAGATTATTAACAGAGCGAGCGACTAAGCTAATTACCTAAAGTTATTTTTATATATTTTATAAACACGATTTAATTCGATTATTATTGGTAGGTACTCACGTAAACGGCAATATTATTCAATTTCTACTTGGAGAACAAACATAGGTACAAACTGATGTTTAAATTCACGTTAGGTATACTTAGTTAAACATGTATTCTTAAGAATGACGTGTCTATTCAGTACTTGACAATTAGCACTAGTACCTACCTATAGAAACATTAAATTCTCGTAGGATTTCACGTTTACTTAGGTCAGTAAATACAACACATAAAACAAATATTTAACTCTATGGTATATTCCTATTCTCTTAAATTAGTACCATGTAAGACAATGCAATATAATACTGGAAGCCATGGCAACAATATTAAAAAATTTAATAAACAAACAAAGACCAAGCAATTAAAAAATTAATGACATTTTATGTAATGAATGTTAAAAGTAAGTCGAATGGACTGTTAAACAGATGGTAAAAAGTGTGGTGGCGTTATCACTTGTGATAACTTAAAGTTCTTAAACTAATTAAGTTGAAGATTTAATTCTGTAAGTGAAGATCTTCGTTCATTCATATTTTTATATACTTTAAAAAGGAAATAGGAGCCCAATAGGTAGTTCCCTCCAAATCTTAACTGAATTTTACCCGATTTATTGCCACAGATTCAATCACTTCATTGTGTATTAAACAGTACATAAACCCAGCAAAATTTTCAGACTAGAAAACGTGTATGTCACCGGTTTTTCACTACCCCCATGTCGAACGTAAAAAAACCAGTGGCGTTACAACCTTATAGGTTTCAGCCTCAAATTCATGTTAATTTGATTTTTCTCATAGGCAACTAGGTTCAGCCTTCTGTGCCAGACGCTGTCGACTTTTTGGGTCTAAGGCATGCCCGGTTTCCTTGCGATGCTTTTCCTTCATCACACCCGAGAATCAACCCTACGGCCTTAGGGTTGAGAGGAAAAACACTGGCCTTTAAGAAACCCAGAAATCAGAATATATCGAAATATTTAAGTGAAGACCACGAACGAGTAACAAAGCGATTTTGATTCTTCACATTGTATGGAACATTTATTTCGCGTGGGGAAAGCAGGTAGTCACTCCAACAGTGGCAATTCATCTAGCAATGCAATTAGTAGGAATAATTAGATGATTTATATACACTCCGCATGCTATTGTAATTGAACTGTTATAAACTGTTATTGTCTATGTATTGTAAATGTCACACGCAATAGCTTCATTTGTTTTGTCTACCGTCTCGCGTCACGACCGCTACAATCATGTATCTGGTTAAAAAAACGTATTTTAAGCCTAGGATTTCGTGGTAGTGAAAAGTTTTGTTAAAATTATTAATCTACTTTAAAAAATCAAACGCTAACTTACGAGGCATCTGCAATTCTAAATACAAATGGTATGTTTATCTTAAACTTAATATTCTGTGACGCCATAGAATATTTAAAAATCGAACACTTTATTAGAACACAGCTTAGATTTTTTTTAAATCAGCCAGTGTTTGCTTAGAAACAAAAAGGTTTCTTTTAATAATGTCGTAATGTTATATTTGATACCGAAGATTTAAATATATTTATAATTAAAGACAAATTTCTATAGGTATATCCCTATAATCCGACTTCCGGTCTGAGAGATTTATTGAGTAACTGTGAGAATACGGTGTGTGAAAATATGTTTTTACTAGCCATTTTGTAATCACAATTTCAATTTAGTTTTTGCCTCAAGAATGGTATTGTGTCAAAAGCGTAATTAACATGCACTTAATTTAAGCATTTTTATAATAACGGAACACGCTTTCAAACAGATACGATTGTTGCCAAGATAAAAACACATTAAAATAACGAATTTATTAACAATAAAGTAAGTTAATGTAACTTTGAATTGCACTTAGCTAATTAATTAAGAATATATTTCCTTGTAGCTTTTAAAACAGAATAAAGCTATAGTGAATAGGTAAGTATCTATAAAAAGGGGGGCCGAAGGGTTTTGTCTGTAAAAAAAACCGTCTATCGTTAAGCCACTAACAAAACCTCGATGTTCCGATTTTGTTAGTGTTTAGAAAGAAAACACTACTCTATACATTTACGAAAAAGAAATATTATTCTTAAGGTTACCTGAAGATGGTGCAGGTGAAGGTATAGCGTCGGAGGCGTCTCGTTCCCCATCCGAACACTGCTCCACATCCACCTCCACATCCTCATCAGGCACTGGTGACCGACTAGATGCACCAGAACTTATAGACGCTGGTGAACTTTGTCGGGAAACTTGATCTGGAATACACATGTCTTTTGGAGTATGTTTTGGAATGTTTCAAGGCATATTGAGTAATGCTCTCAACAGCGAACATTATACACCTGGAAGGTATACCTACCTAAGCTAAAAACTAAATCAGTCCAATCCCCTTTAACAAATCTCATTTGTCTCTTTTCATCGGTAAATATAATTTGAAAGAAAGAGACCAAAATAGATTTGAATTATGGGTCCTATAAGTTAACTTGCGTTAAAACTTAAAAGTAGAAGGAGCTGGTAATAGGACTCTCATATATAAAGTATGTAACATATACATGTATGAAATGTATAGCAAACATACAAAAATTAGGTTCGCATTTTAATTTTTAATAACGAATAATTGTTCCGTTTATTTAATTTAATTAAAACAGAGTGAGTAGCTCGTTCGACGTCGGTCGTTCCATAACTGAGCGTTATTTTAGCACACCGCGCACCACCACTATGTGGAATCAGCTACCCACTGAAGTATTTCCAAACAAATTCGACTCAAGGGTTCAAGAAAGGGTACCAATACTTAAAAGGCAACGCACTTGCGAACCCTCTGGCATTGGGTGTCCTTGCTAACTTAACATCAGGTTAGCTTCCAACCCGTTTGACCCCTGTTCTATAAAATAGTGTGTAGCTTACACACATAATTATAGTAGATGTACAGAAAGTCATTATTAATGAAAACACTAAAATGACTTTTGCTTAGGTACTGACAGTCCGTATTTGTCGAACTATACCATGTGTACCTACTGATTTTGCTGACAGTACTAAACACATTTGAATTCCTACTTCAACTTTATGACTATTGACTTATGGAAAGTCGTTAATAATTAAGTATCTAATACCTTATTTGTAGAACTCGAAATATACTAACAAAATCCTCTAGCTTTGTAATATTAGTCTACTTAAAATATCTAAACTACTGACTTTAAGTATTACACCTTATCGGTAATTGGCGATGGCACTTAATCCACGATTTGCAGTTTTATTAAACTCGCAAATAAAATCGACATTTAAAAGCATAAAATACAGGTAAAGTTACAACATACAATAACTTAAAAATCCCATTTTAAAGTCATAAAATAGCATTCCACAGTGTGAGTGGTGTCGTATATGTTCGGTTCCGCACAATTAATCCCAAATAACGAAGTGACCCGCAACATGACGCCTGCGTCGGCGCAGGTCCCGCCAATTACCCACTTTTACATTCTTGATATTGATACGGTCTATATGTATTTTTAAGAGTAAAATAAATACGACAGTCTTTGTTTTTACTCGTTATCAAAGGAGGTTTTAATCAACGCGTAGGTATTCTTTTTTAATTTTCGGGTACACCATTGTTATATCTTTATATTTTTTGGCGCTTTAATCGAACCAGTCACTACAACACTGACTTAATATCACATTTTACTAAAAAAAAATTAAGAATTTACAAAGTAAGAATAAAAATCATATTTATAGAAACAGACTTTATGGTCTTCGAATAGACTATTAAAATTATATGTCAGTAGTGATCAGTGTCAGTGTAAAAAATAAGCATAGATAATAAAATACAAAGAACTACTTGCCTATAAAGAAAAATTCGAAACAGACCCAACTGAACTTAGCTCTCGCGTCAAACTCGTATTGGATTTGACATATGGAAGTAATACTACGCTTTAAGTCGTAAGAATATTACCCTAAGACAAAGGAAAGGTATATTAGAATATACAGTGAAACACTGTAGGTACATTTGTTAAACGATTTTACATCGGACACCGCCGGAGTAGGTACCTACTTACGCCAAAATTCAGTAGAGGACTGCGCTAATTCCGTCTCTTGTAGGTACGTCAAAAATACGTTTTTAACACTCGTACTCAGCGCTAAGTCGCGACTCTTAAATGCTGGCAAACGGACAGGAGGCTAATATTAAGTGTTAATGGACATGGACACTCAATGAAATTTCTTGAAGGACCCTAAGTCAAATCGGTCCGGAAATATTTTAGTAGGTAGCTGGTTCCACATAGTGGTGGTATACGGAAAAAATTGCCTTAAATAACGCTCAGTTAATGACGGACGTCGAGTTGATACGGGTGAAATTATTATACATTTGATTCTTATTTTATTTTTCACTCCACTATCCATATTCTACTAACTATATTGAATGAATGTTTTGTTTGACGTCAACAAATATATAATTAACTTGAACATTACAAACACTGTCACTCAAACGAATAAATAAATAATATTTAGATACCTATTTAAAGTAAAGTAGATATCTAATAGCATTGTGTCTGTTTAAATTTGTATATTTAATAAAAACCAGCCACAACCTTGTTTGGGGCCTCAGATTTCTGTATATGTTTCGTAATCATTTGTTTTTTCTAATAGGCAAGTACCTAGTAGGCCTTCTGTGCCTGACACACGCCGTCGACTGGGTCTGCGGCATGCCAGTTTCCTTACGATTTTTCCTGCACCGTACGAACGAGTATTAAATGCGCACATAGAACAGTCAATTGGTGCACAGCCGAGTACCTCAGAGATGAAAATCGCAGACTGAAGCCTTTAGGCCAACACTGCTCCTACCATTACTATATTATGCTGTAACTAAAATATTCTAAACAATCCTATGTTATACCTACGGTAAATATTTATAACGTAAAAATAATAATATGCGTAAAATTCATTTAAACAAAATTACAAAAACATAAGTAAATTACATACTAGAGCAAGTCTAATTAATTATTTTCATATTATGCCGGTATCACAGTTAAATATTCTATTTCATTATTTCCATAAATGATGTAACTAGATACAATAGCCAATAAACATATTAGTTGTTAACCAATTTATAAGTCATTGTTATATTATATTACTAGATTTTACGACCTAATAGGATTTTACTCCTCTATAATATCTATTAACTTCTAAATGGCCTTAACCGATCCCATACAAAGTTTATAAGTAAAGGTCCACGGTCTTTACACGATCCTTATGGTCACCTACCAACCATTTCCGTTGATTGAAGTTCAAAAAGAAACAGAAAACAATCGCTTAGTTGTAAATACCAGCCCTTTCCGTTATAAAGGATTTGTATGTAATAGTTGAAAGATCTGGACGGAGTAGAATTTTGGTAGAAATTTAATAAAAAATTAAATAGTTCCAATATCTTATTGGCTTACGGTATTTCACGCTCACATTGACACAATCAAAGGTTATAGAACACCAAGTAAAAATGCATTGTACATAATATAAATCAAAGCAGATAACGTAGACTTAATAGAATATGTTTTGACGTCGACAAAATTATTGCGGTTTCCACATAGGCCTAAATTAGATCGTGTACCTATTATAAGTAAATGCTTTTGAAGCGCTATAAAGTTATGAATTTAACATTGCAGATAGGTAAAGAATATTTTTATACGTTTAGTGTTAAGTTAGGAACAAAAACCTTGGCTTCTTTTAATCTTTCGAGTCGGTTTTAGTAGAATCTCTTTGCCGTTTAAAAATAAAGAAAGATCCCATACAAAATGTGTCCATATGCAAATTTTGACCATGAAGGTTTGGGTGAATCAATCAAAAAACAGTATTTTCTCACCTATGAAAGTAGGCGATCGTGCGACGGCAAGAGAACCGCGCAGGGCCGGCTGCTCAGCGCTGCGAGCCATGATGGCCGCTATGGAGAAATCCGTCGCGCGACTCTTTTCCGCCACCATTTTTGAGGCCCGCCAACCTTCCACGTCCAACACCTCGTCACAATACCTCACCGGGCCGTCCGACACATCCTCAACCATACCGCGGGCACATAACAACGCGCAACTAACACGGTCAATTCTACGCCTGACACAAGATCGAACAGAACGGTGGCCAAGCACGGACTGAACGCGCGGCTATGTGGAACGACACTTTAAGCGGGAAAAGCGCTGCACTGTGAACGCTTTTACGTTTTATATTGATGTAGATTAAGAACGTCACAGCTAGTATCAAATTTAATCAACAGTTTTGACTTAATAAAAAGATATTATTTGCAATAATTTATGTTTGGTATTTTGTTTAGCGATTTAAGACAATTTTTTTTTAATTATGAATCATGAATGAATATCCTAAATGCTAGGTTCTCCTATACATGTCACAGTAAAATACACAAAGTTGATCACTTGTGTATTTTAAAAATATCAAGAAAATTTTTAATAATAGTAGATTACAGTTACGCACAGGTAACATAGCGTAAAGCGCTTGATTGTCAAGAAATGACGGGCGGGGCGGGCCCGTTACCGCCTCCCCGTCAACCACTCAACTCTCCCCTGACGCCACCACCCCTCAGCCCACTCATAACAATATCGCATTATTATTTAACTTGTATTCCATATCACTTACCGACTGTCACAATTCATTGTTAGCTTTTCATTCGTCATGCGGATAAAGCTCAGCCAATTTGATTTATATCCCTCTTCAGGTGAAAATGGATTAAAATAACGTTTTGAGACTTGGAGAATTTTCCATATTTTTTTTTAGAAACGCGACAATGTCGCAAAATCGCAATCGTCTGCGCCGCCCATTAATGTAAACATTCCGCGTGGAGCGAGATAGCGCGGGGTGAATTAATACGTTTCGCATGCGATGGAGAGAGACGGCGCTATTTATAGATTAGCGCTTCAAATTAAACGTCTTCTGAAATGTATGATCGTAGATTATTTGTAGATGTAGCCTTAAAATTGAACTGTCTAGATATTTTCATTTTCTAATTCTTTTTTTCTATTATTATATGTTGAATATATAATAAGTATAAATTTTATTAAAGATTTTCTAATAAATTTAATATAAAAATTATATCTGTTGCGAATTAAATAATAATATGCACATAATATATTTTTAAATTAAACGTTTAAAAAAATCTCGAATATTTGAAACAAATAAAGTTTTGTCTACAGATAATAAACATTAAAAATGCCTTAGGAAAGCCTTTTAATGCCAATTCGTACTATGGATATTAGATAACTATTTATAAGAGAAAAATATTTTTTTCGAAATACTCTAGTAAAACGCGGCTTAAATCTCCGGAGTCTATGGTATTTACGAGTCTGTAGTCATCACTCTACAGTCTATAGCCCTCAAGTAAAACAAGAGAAGTCATTTACCGAAATTGACTTTAGGAGCTCTGTGCTATCACAGAAATATTTAAAACTATATTTAAGTGGCCTCTCTGTGGCATTTCAATTTGTGTAACTTTTATGACAGTAGTAAATCTTAATGCCTGAAAAATAGAATTGTTAAAATAAATTACGAATAGGTAAATGAGTAAATTTATGGGGACGTAACCCGAAAGGTGTTATTTTCAGAATAACTGAGAATTGCAAGCTCCAGCAAGTGCTAGTTTCTGTGATTTATGACATAATAATTCGAATAGCACCTTCGTGGCTTAGCAGTTGAGGTTATATTCAATTTCAGAGGCAACAAATTTTAAAAGTTATTTAGGACTTAAAGTGACTAAAACGTTTTCAAAACTTTTAATGTCGCCGGCATTGAGTGTCCATGGGCGGCAGTATCACTTCAGCCACCTGCCCGTTTGCCCTCTGTTCTATAAAAAATAGTACTGTTCCAATAGAATACATACGTCAAAATTATGTAATAAAAGTCTTTATAAGTATATAAATGTACCAACAATAATCTATCTATTAAAAAGAGGTAATATATAAGTTATATAGTTATGTTTCTTCGTAACGAACCGATAAACTCAAAAACTACTGGATCAATTTGAAAAGTTCTCTCACCACAATAATGCTATATTATCCCTACAAACCATAGGCTATATATTATGTATATATGTCCAAAATATTTTAGAAAATAAACGCCGGGACAAACCTAAAAAGAACTATTCTGTGGATCTGCCGAAATTTTTGAAGTTATACTTCTTTAGGCGCGTTATGAAAAATTTATGAGAGTGAAATACAAAATTATCAGTATGGGCGCCGAGCGTGCGCGAGCGAGATGGGAATAAGACAATCTACAAGTAAAAAGAAATATAATATGCGTGAGGTTAGCAGCTATGCCAAGAATTTTGAATGACCATAATGACATTTGTAGTACCTTTTAAACAAATAAAGGAGTTTTAATTATTTTTTCAAAGAAATTTAGCAATGCTTTTTCACAAATACCTAATGTTACTTAGTTAAAAGGTTATGAAACATACCTAGTTTTAAAATTGAATTAATAATATAATAAAATAATAAATAATAATTTTTATAAATATTAATTAATAATTGAATAATATACTAAATATTAAATATTATTAAATTATTAACGCTAAATATTTATTATTAATTATTTAATATTTAAAAAAAATAAAGAAAGCCAAAGAAGTATAACTTCTTACGCGCGTACATACGCACCATTTTTTTATACTTACAATCAATAATTTAAATTGTATAGCCATCTGCTACTTTTTGTAATAAAATAAACATCATGTCAAACGATTACCGGTTTTATAAAACCAAATCCCATCGAAACCGTCAAAACATGTAAGATGCCGGAACTCATAATTCTTTGAGTGAACAAGCGTCGGAAATGGTGCAATAGGTGACACAATGCAACTATTGTGCGAAACCCGTGTTTGCCAACGATGCTTAGAACTAGATGTAGTGAAAAAAACGCAGTCAATTTGCTTATATTAATAATAAAATTCATGAGAAATAACTGACTTGACATTTACCTACTGCGTTATAGTTTTCATTGTTGTCAAAACCAATTAATTCTTTTTTGGCTATTTTGCGTTATAAACAAAATGTTACTAATTATGTGAATTGGAATCGAAATTTTAAGTGTCTATACGAAATGGCACGTTTTGAATCTGTCAAAACAAAGACGCGAAATTTCTAGTGTCTTTTAATTTTCCCGCCTAACTCCCTGTACCTATAGTGTATCAATGTCGAAATTCTAACCTAACCAATTTGATTTTGTTACTTTCCCTTTGTTTGTACAAAGTTTCATAAATTTTATAAAAATACACAGACTTAAATATAGTTTAAATTATGAAATCTGTGAAACGAATCATTAAATAAACTTTTTAATCTGTCATTTTAAATTTGGTGTTCATCCAGTTTCGTAGTCTGTGGCAGTAGCTCGGCGCCCGCTTTTTCAAAACGTCAATGGGCCTTTGAAATCGCAACCAAATATTTGCCGAACACGTGGTTAGGCCACACAGGACGCCACGGTCATTACGCAATAGAAAGCGGTGGGTTTTTGCTCAAAACGCAAAATGTAATCAACGAAACATCGGTCGCATTTTAAGCGTGAAATGAATACGTGTGTTTCTGATAATCGATTATGAACTAATTTTGTTGTGATTGATGCATGTAACTTAATGAAACGGTTTGAATAACTTAATATCAGAGATTTTACATACTTATCTAAGCTTTTTAAGGGCAGAAAAATACATATATGAGCAGTGTTGGCCTAGTGGCTTCAGCGTGCGACTCTCATACCTGAGGTCGTAGGTTCGATCCCCGGCTGTGCACCTGCTGACTTTCTTTCTATGTGCGCATTTAACATTTGCTCGAACGGTGAAGGAAAACATCGTGAGGAAACCGACACGTCTTAGACCCAAAAAGTCGACGGCGTGTGTCAGGCACTGGAGGTTGATCACCTACTGGCAAGTAGGTGATCATGTTATTAGATTAAAAAATGATCATGAAACAGATGCAGAAATCTGAGGCCAATACCTAAAGAGGTTGTAGCGCCACTGATTTATTTATTAGTTTTAAATAAATAATATAAACGCAATAATAATCTCAACTACGCATTTAAATGGATTATTAAATTCATTTAAATGCGTTTTACATTTTACATTACATTAGAAAAAAAAATGATGATATTAAACTTTAAATAATTTAGAATGGAGGAGACTCGTAGAAAACCAGAAAGGTGGTGAGGGCTTTGCTATATCTATGGGAATATTAATTTTCTATTATTAACGTTACCTGAATTAAGGGTTAGAATTTTGGCCTAACCATCATTTAATTGTAAGAAAATTATAGACTACCCTTCTAATCATACTCGTATAAACTCAATAAGGGTGGGTTGCATCAACAAATTTTGACGGACACGTAACCGTTAAATATGGCGCTAACGAACGTTAGACAATAAAAGTGTTGATTCACCATCCATGACAGCTTACGTTCGTTAAAAAGTTACGCTTACGTTAACCAGTGCTTGAACCATTGGTAATCGTCAAATTTTGGTTTGTAACTTCGTAGTTCGTACTTCCTAAACTCTGTTTCCTCTGAATTTAATATTAGGATGGTTTGATTAATAATTATTTTGCAAGGTATGTTAATACTACGATTATTTTTGACTTCAAAAAATAAATTGCAAAATTAATATTAAAGATGTCCTATATTTCAGATTATATCTTTTTATGGCATGGGTGTATGGGTGGTATGGTGAAGGACTAAGATATTCTATACTGTTTATATTGCTTATTGCATGCCTTTGGTAAAGAAATGAAATATTTGTCAAAAATAATATGCCTTTACTAACTGAATTACAGCCTACAGATTTTATTAATTTAGACCAAAAGTTAACTTCATTGACAACAAACAGAAAACTAGTTTTCTCTTAATTTAATTTAATACTAATATGTGATATACATAGTTTAATTATTATTATTTTGCAAGGTATGTTAATATTTAGATTATTTTTAACTTCAAAGAAAACAAATCTCAAATTATAATTTTAAAGCTGTCTTATTTTCAGATTATAACTATTTTATGGTATGGATGTGAAATATGGTGAAGGA